TCATGTCTGGAGTGTTTTATGCGTTCAATGAATGGTCTTGGCCTAAGCTTGCCCCACTCTAGTTCTTGGGAACGGGTTCTGTCATTCTCCATTTTCTGAACGTTTTGGAAGAGAAGTCGGATGACGAGATCTCGGCTAGGAATCTCCTCTGCTCCGTAATCTTCCATATGTCGTGGGGACCCCATTGGATGAACTTCTGAGTACCGCGTTGGTGTTGCCGAATGGTAAGTGGGTAAATGGGTTCCGGATGGGGTGTATTCGAGATCTGAGTCCGCAGTGGACTCTAGACCCTGCACTCGCCGAATAGGGGGTTTATTGCCCAGGACCCGCATTCGTGAGTCGTTGAGGCATGCCTCAATCCTGATCGATGACTTGTCCCTTTCTTCTTGTCGATCCATCAAGCAGTGGCAACAATCGGAGTAAACCTTTTTCGGCAGATAGGGCTTCTTCTTGGGAGTTGGGACAACCAAGCGCTTGGAAGGCGCGGGTGCAGCCTTCGCACCCTTCTTCCCTTTCTTCTACCGACTAAGGGTTTGCAAGCTCTGAAAAGATTGGTTCGTCTGAATATTCTGGGTCTGCTGCTGTTGTGTTTCGTCCACTTTGGATGAGAGGATGTTGTTGTGTTCCTGCAACCTTGCCATGTCCTGCCGAAGCGCTGTGATCTAGGCTAAGAGTTCCGCTTTAGTAGTGGTTTGCAGTGCCAACAAATTACCAACCGGGGTGCTCGGGGACAGTGCTGGGCTGGCTCCACCTTGCTTACAGAACGGAAACCCTTCAGATGGTAGAAACAATAGTACTGATGCAGTCCCCATGTGATAGAGAAAGTGGGTCGATTAGTATCGTTTCCCACAGATGGCGCCAAACTGTTAATGCTCAAAAATGGTTCGGCACTTTTGAGCCCAACTGAGTGATGTCCGAGTCTTCGATGTGCTTTGGGCCTCGGTAGAGCGATCGATCGATCTGCAAGATGAAAACACTCGGTAAGGCCTTAGGCACCTGTGTGGTACTGGCCGAAGGCTCTCCGATGCTTAAGTACGGAGTGAATAGTAATCTGGACATAGTAATGGCTAAGTTTGCCGAAAGTTCCAGTTACCTCCATTTTAGGACTTGTGCCCCTTTTAGAAGCCTTGGGAGGTGTGGTTGTTGTGTAGAATTTCAATGTGGGACTGGAGACATTTACTGTGGGCACTCCACGTGTCTAGTGGGTGTTTGGTTTCTGATATTACACTCGGCAGCCTTGGGTGCCGAATGCTGCCCTACCGATTCTCTTTTAAGTCCACGTGTTGCTCCCTTATTGATCTATCAATTTAGGTATAAATATATATATATATTTATATATTGTTATATACATATGGACCCAAAAGTTCTCATGATTGTATAGATATACACCCCGAAATTATATAATATATAAATAATATCTATATATGGTAATCTCACACCAACACGAGTACTGAGGGAAACAATCCAACACAAGGATTGTTTGACTTGCCCGCAGGGTTTCAACTTTCTACCTTGCGTCTAGGGATGAGCTGTCCAACCGGGAGACTACCACTTACAGCACACACGCCGGAAAATCTAACGCCACGTGTGGCCAACCAAACTATGTCCTACTGCTTTATCACACGCCGGAAAATCCAACGCCACGTGTGATAAAGTACTAACATAACCAAGTGAACCCACAAGCTAGAAAATCCAATGCCACGTGTGGGTACAGTAACCAGGGGAAGGTACTTAGCGTGGTGCAAATACATACTCACGTAACAATCAATAAAGTACCCAACTCTCATAAACCACTTGCCTAGTTATTTAATCATAAAGTAAATAACAACTTCTCAACACATATAACCGTATCCAAAATAATCATGAACTTCAAATATCAACATAATTGCAAATTCCATAATTAAACGATGTATAAACTCCAAAGTCAAAATAATCCAATTTAAATGCATGATAATTTAATCTATGAAAATAATGCTTATTCAAAACAAAGTCCACTCACAGAAAGTCCGACGCTGCGTGATCCTGAAAGGGTCCTACTTACTAGCTACACTGAGCTGGAGTACCAATTGAAGAATATGATGACTAGATTAAATAAAAGTACTTCGAACGAGAACTTTAAAAACAATTCCTAGTTTTCCTGGGACTCAAGGTGTGTGCACAACGAACGGGGAGTTTCTAAGGTCCAACTATGCGTTTCAAGATGTGGAATAACCTTGGAAGACTCTCCGATTGCCGATCCAAAAGTTCTTATGAGTTCAACCAAGCCTACTAAACCCGTTTTGCAAGTTTGGTCTCAATTGACCGATCAGATTGCTCTCGATCACACTATCGGTCTGACCGCTCGATCGGACGGTCACCGTTTTACGTAACCTTGAATCATTGATTCGGAGTATCCGGAAATCCGATTCTCGATCCATGAGTTCCTACACGATCCTAGAGGTGGAGAGAACAACATACTCGGAAATGGGGTTGATCCAACGATCCAAACATATCGAACCCAGATATCGCCTAATATGCGTAAATCCGTTTGACTGTCAAACGATAACCAAATTCGAATCCGAGCATACCGTCATGCTCGGGACGACATGGGGAATATTTTAGAACAAAATGGGCCACCACACCATGGCCCATGAGCCGCCACACGCTTCGACAGCGCATGGGTGGCTTGAGAAATTTCCGGTGACGAAAAGTTCTCAAATCACCCAACAATACCTATACCTACATGTTCGTGACAACTAAGGGAGCAACTTTTGTTCTTAGGCCCACCCCCAATTTGGCCGGGAAGTGGCCGAAAAACGCGCTAAAAAATGGGTCAAAACTTAGGTTCTAAATTGAGTTTCAAAACTTCAAAATCGATCCTAACCAACCAAACCATCAGCTATATCACATTGAGAGGGTGAGAAAACATACTTGGATCGACAAATTCCGTCGCCGGAGTTTTCGAAAATGACATCAGAAAATATTGAAGGAAAATCGACATGTTTCGAGATACCGCCGGCAAGGGAGGGGCTGGGCTCGTCGGAGAAGGGGAGGAACGGAGAGAGGGGGCCGGGCCGATTCTAATGGAGGTGGTTTTGTTGCCGGTCAAACAGTGGCAAGCTATGCGAAACCGAGAGAAGAGAGAGAGAGATCGAGGGAGAAGAGAGGAGAGAGACATGAGAGAGAGAGAGAGGTCCAAGTTTTTAAAAAAAAAATCTGACTTTGAAATATTTATGGTTGTGCCATTGCACTTTCGTTGACTGTAACTTCTTCGTTAAAACTCCAATTTGAGCCCACAATGTGTCTATGATCTCGTATCGACGAGATTTATGCAACAGTGTCACTCAAATTCCAAAAATCCTTACAAATTGAAAAGTGACTATCGTGACCTTACTCCGAGAGCAAAATTGTAATTTCACAATCAAATAAATTAAACAAATTAAATAGATTACATAAATAGTTAAAATTGGGTCGGGGTATCACACCTGAGACTTCTAGTCTGCAAGTTAAGGCCCTTTTCCACTAAACTAGACTTTGTTGGCCACATGTAGCTTAATATTACAGATGTAGGCAGTGAGCCCGCCCCCTTGTCCCCTACCCCGCACTACCATCTACTCCCTCTCTTTTCCACCGTACTATTTTTCTCATCCGCCAAACAAGAAATCAAAGGAATCTCAAATTTTGAGTCAAAATCCTAAAATTCTTTGAAATTAAATTTTACTATCAAATAAACACAAAATTTTAAAATTGAAATTAGTTCTAGAAACAATATTTTTCTACAAATCAATGAGCATAGTGATTAAATTGAGAAAAATAAAATCACCCTAACCGAAATTGAAATCAGTAAAAACAATATAACCGAACGAGGAAGAAAGTAAGAGCACAAAAACAACCAGGACCACGTTAGCAACTACAAAAACATAACCCAACGAGAAATTATATGATCTTTCTAGAATGTAAGTTATATGATCTTTGTGAGTCTCTTTGTATTTCTTCATTCAATAGTGAAAATACCCAATACCCTGCGGACGTAGTCCGATTATGGGTGAACCATGTAATCTCTTGTGTCGCTTGAGCGAATGTTTTTGCTTAACTTCTATTTACAAGTGCAATCCCTAAGCACTAGAACTCGTTCTAGGGGACGACCCTCTTGGTCATGCCAAGTTGGTTTGGAAGGATTGCAGACCTCGATCTCGAAGAGGTCATTTTTGGTTGAACGAAATTTAGGCATCACCAGTATATATACGTCTTTTTTTTTCTCCTTTAGGAAATAACGGACTCATCTGAAAAATCTCACTTCAACTCAATTTTCTTCAAGTGTCATAAACCCTAAGTGTCATAAACCTAGGTTTTTGGTTTTAAGTGTCATAAACCTAAAACCTGAGCTCTAAAGGATTCTTTTGTAACTTCAATTTGTTCAATTTTGATTCTATTTAACTTAAATAGAATCAAAATTGTACAAAATTTCGTATAAGTGAGATTTTACCAACGCATTCGTTCACACTATATAGAGAATCTGTAAATATATATATAGTTGTCCTCTGAACATAAAGAAAGGGCGCGTCGAGCAAATATTACTTTGACTCAATTTTCTTTAATTACTTTTGATCCCACTAATTGAAATTGTTGATTTGTTAGGATGTAGAATGACTTGAGGTTTCTAGTCTGGTTAATCTTTAGATATGGGGGTTGAAGTCTCAGGTTTTGGGTTGTCTAAAAGACCTTTTTATATCCTAAATAATCAATCATGTTAATAAATAAGATAAAAGTTGAATAAAATTAAGTAAAAGTGAGGTTTTTCCTCATTGCATCATGTTTTTAAAGAACACGGAATATCCTGTATAGAAAGCTTCAGTGCCAATGTGTCTGACATCTAAGGGTGCATATGGAGAAGATATATTAGAAGAGGCTCTTGTTTTCACCACCGCTCACCTTGAGTCCAAAATAACCCATGACAAATAAGTCAAGCCTTGGAGAGACCTTTGTTAAAATGTCTAGAGAGGTTAGGTGCCAGGAATTACATGTCAATCTACCAAGATGAAGCTTCGCATAATGAAACTCTACTAAAACTTGCAAAGTTAGATTTCAATCTTGTTCAGTCTTTGCACAAAAAGGAGCTCAGTGATATGTAGTTTGCAAGGTGTAAAATTCATACTAATTATTAGTTATACATGTTTAGGTGGTGTAAAGAAGTAGACTTTGAAAGGAAGTTGCCTTTCGGAAGAGATTGTGGAATTGTACTTTTGGACAACGGCATAAAAATTCTAAACAAAGTCATTGCCCTGGGAAAAGTGATGGATGACATATACGAGGCATTTGGTACCTACGAAGAAGTCGAGATCTTTATCGAAGCAATTAGGAGGTTTGAAATAATCACGTTCCTTCTTTTTCTTATTTAAAGATATTTTTCTTCTATTTATTTTGCAGAACTCCCACAATTGATACGCTTAAAATGATTATGGTTGATGCAATTTTCAGGTGGGATGTCAATTCCATGGATGAACTGCTAGACTATATGCAAATAGTTTATCAAACACTTTTGAATCTCTTAAATGATATTGAGGATGAGATTGTGAAGCAAGGAAATGCATATATACCGAGTTTACTATGCAAAAGAAGCTGTAAGACCAACTGATGTGCCAAGGCCTGTCCTCATGCGCACTCTCAACTTAACAAGAGGGGAGATGGCTTCACAGTACACATTTTGGAAATCTAATGAAAGATACGGTTACTTTCCTTTCTATTGATCCTGTGCCACTTTAAGTTGGATTCGTTGTGATCTCTGTAATAATCACAGAAAATCTCACCGTTATTTATTCTAGATCAAAACAAGTACAAAACACGAGAAAATATTTGAAGAACACGTGTTGACGCCAAAAACTGGTTCACAGGCTTTAAGGGTCAACTTAGTAATTTTATACCTTCGGTATCCTTTTGGTCTCGGTAAGGAGAGCAATCTGCAAAAGTAGCAAACGCTCGGTAAGACCTTAGGCACCGGTGTGGTACCGGCCGAAGGCTCTCCGATACTTAAGTAAGTTCTGTTTGGGCCCAAATTTGGTGCGCCTGGTCCAGAGATAAAAACCAACATCATTTTGGGCTGCTAATCTGGACCTAAAAATGATGTCCTCAGCCCATCAAACGCGCCCAGCCCGTTAAACAAAATAAACAGTCCAAAGCAATATCACTTGGCCCAAAGGAACAAATGGGCCGTCTCAAGAAGAAACTTGGGCCTCGAAAGAAGCCAAAACAGGTTTTGAGCCAAAGGAACAAATGGGCTTGGCACTTTTTAAAAAGAGAAAAACCCACAAAAGGAACAGACCCATGTGACCCCTGACTTGGAAAAGTCAATAACTTCGGCTGAAATTAAAGATTGAGCAGGGGCAGGTATAAAGGAGGATGTCTCTGAAAAAACTCTGTTGCCAGGAGATCAAACTCCGTTTTAATTATTCAAAAGATATTTTTCCTATTTCAGAGAAGACACCATTCTCAAGAGATAAGCAGACTGCCTCTGTGAAAAGAAGATAAGCGGGAAACAGGGAACTGTTCGAAAACTGAGAACTTACCATCTCAAAACTTCAGACTCTTGCAAAAGCAGTTGAAAAAGAAGAAGAGCATGGCACCCCATCAAACTACAGAAAAATGGTCACTTCAGGAACTGATCGTTGAGTGTTTGCTTGCCAAAAATGGATAGAACCCCCTTCTTTCTTTTTAAAAAAAATTAAAGATCTTTTGAGATTATTTGCCGCCCAATATTAAAAGAATCAAAACTCCCACTCAAGAGCATTTCTTATATATATGAGAGAGGGTGAACAGAGTAAGAGGCAATCAACACAACCAAAAACTCAGTCAAAAGACAAACACTCAAAATGATCACTTGATCACAAGAATTCCAAACAAAGTCCAACAACCCAGAGTCTGAAGCATTTCAATATTCAAAAGCTTTTTCAACAAGCTTGCAGAATCATCCTACCTTTCCCAGCAAAGATAGTTAGAATACTGCTTCTGATTTGAATCCCAGTTCACAAATCAACAATAACGAGATTTCTCTCGTTACAAATTTGGTTCAGCAAAAGCCAAGACAAGCAGAGTTTGAATTTTTCTCAAATACGAAAACCTCAACAAATTTATGGAGAGCCCTGACTAAGCAGCACAGGTACCACAGTACACCTCCAGCTCACGTCCAGTCACTTCTGTCCCTTTTAGACCGGTGAAATCCCAGTTCTGCCCGTCCAAAAGCCTTCCAGGGCTTGAAATGAATTAAAGCTCTGCCAAATTCAAACTTGGTATCGATTTGCAACTGAAGCCTAGCAGTTGAAGCTGTTAAGAGTCCAATCCAGCATAGACACATCCAGTTAGAAAAGAACTTACTTGGGAGATATTCCTCACCCAAATTCACAATCGTTTTGTTTAGAGTCAATAGCTTGGGGCGCAAGTTATCCTTACTCTCAAAGTCTGTTAGGATTGAAAAATTGCTAACGGTGGCACGCTCAACACACAAAGAAAGTTAATTTATTGACCAAACCAAGGTCTTTGAATTAATGGGGAACTTTACCCTACCATCACAGGAAACAAATCAAAACGGGTGAACAAGTTCGGGATTAGAAAGTTCAACTGACAGATCATAGGCTTGTATGCCGTAAGTTCTGATTACCTCTGTTTTGGGGTAGTTGGCCTTTTTATAGGCTTTGGGAGGCGTGCACTTTGTTGATAATTTCGATGTGGAACTCTAGACGTCGCTTGGGAGCATGCCACGTGTCCCAGAAGAGTGTGTTGCCCTAATGGAGCGATCGGTAGGTAAGGTGCCGAGGGCGTCCCTGACCAGGCTCGATTTCCTCCACGCGTCTCGTTCTCATTGGCTGTTTATTTTGGGTATAAACAACACGCAAATTCTCGACTAATTTATTTTATAATATAACCTTCATGCACAAAATAAATATATAAAAAATATATAAAAAAAACCTTCATGCACATATATACATGATTTTTGAATCAAGTGGTGGGCTTGTTGGGCTTGGCTATGAACATTAAATTCATAAGACCTAATCCATGACCCCAAATCTTAAACTTCATAAACACGTTAGAATTCCTAATAAGTGCATTTTGATAATTTAGTTCTTTATAAATAAAATAAAATAAAATACCTACAACACATATATGTGGCTAGGAATTGTGGAAATAGTCCAGTCGGTGAACAAGGCCCATGATATGGAGATTTAACCTAATTCTGGCTGGAGGAAAGCGACTTAGGCAAGAGCTATGAGACAAAAAGGCCAATAGCCTGTAGTCCTATATACACCACGTCACGTACTCTTTCTCTCAATTCTACTCTGTCATAAAAACCAATCTCTTCTATTGTTGTCTGTTGTTCAAGGGCAGTCCTACGTTTTGAAGGCTGTAGGTGAACAACTAATAAAATGGGGCCTTCTATTCTAATTTATAAATTGCAATCGCCAGGCAATAAGATACAAATTGAAGGGAAAATACGCAATTGGATTCTGTTAAGCAATTTCCCTACGCGATTACTAACTCCTTTTCTGGTAACTGCAAGATACCTAGAAGAGTTTAGTCACTAATTTATACAGGAACAATTAATATTGTTTGATGACATTGTTAGTTGAAGCTTTAGAAACATAATATTATCCAAAAGAAAAATAAATAAATTTGAAATTATGATGATATCGATGATCATCAATATCCTAATCAGAAATAATATTAACTTAAAAGAATTAGGTGCAACTGCAGTTATGCAATAAGAAGTAGAGCTTAAATGAAAATGTCCAACCGAGGTATAGTAATTCCATACAAATGATAGTGGGTCATGAGCATCCACAATAGGGATTCTTCCATGGACGCCATGTTTATGCATGATAATGCTCTATTGTTAATTTGATAGGCAGTCTCACAACAACTGTTAATTTTGCAGGTACCGACTGATTATGTGTTAGAATGTAAATCTAAACTACCGTTTCTAAGATGCATTTTTGAAACATAACATTTTAAATTTGTTTAGCCATATAACATTTCAATACAATGTGGTACGTATAAGATTTTATGCATAACAATTTCTCAATGAATGGGAGACATTTTTTAATTATGAATATTTAAAATTGAAAATAACCTAACAAAAAGTAGTAAAAAAAAAAAAGGATTTAACAATAATACTATAGATCAACGCATGTGACAATTTCTTATTTATTGTGAATAAATAAAATTCAAAGTAGGTCTCGAATGAATTTTTTTTTTTTAAAACTGTCACATTAGTACACTATCATTTGTATCAACAAAAAAGAAAAAACCTCCACTACTTATATTTTCTAAAATTTTCCTCATCTTATAATTTCATACCTAATATTCTTCTGTTTACTAAAGTTTTTCTGTAATTTATTAGATTACTTATTCCTTTGTAGGATTTAAATTTTTACTTATAAGTTTTTATGACTTTGCATGAAGAATTTTTTTAAGTTTGTATAGAAAGATAAATGAGAAAAAAAAACTTATAAGTTTTCTTCATATATTATATTAGTTTCTCTAGTTTTCACATTACTATAATATAAGTTTTTTTTAATGTTTTTATTTAACTTTTGTCAAAAGAAATTTTGACCCAGATAATTATATATGTAATATACATCATATATTTGTCTTTCTCATATATATTGTTTAAATGAAGGCTTTTTTTTTTGTGTGATCAAGAATGGAGGTTTGGTCTAGCAAAAAAAAATAGAGCACTGCATACCAAAAAAGAGAAGAAGAAAAAAAGAGAGCTTGCAATGGGTCGTGTTATGTCGGGTTCGTGTTTTTTTTTATTGATCCTGTGCCACTTTAAGTTGGATTCGTTGTGATCTTTGTAATTTATTCCTACCTCAATAATCACAGAAAATCTCACCGTTATTTATTCTAGATCAAAACAAGTACAAAACACGAGAATATATTTGAAGAACACGCAAATTCTCGACTAATTTATTTTATAATATAACCTTCATGCACAGAATAAATATATAAAAAATATATAAAAAAAACCTTCATGCACATATATACATGATTTTTGAATCAAGTGGTGGGCTTGTTGGGCTTGGCTATGAACATTAAATTCGTAAGACCTAATCCATGACCCCAAATCTTAAACTTCATAAACACGTTAGAATTCCTAATAAGTGCATTTTGATAATTTAGTTCTTTTTATAAATAAAATAAAATAAAATACCTACAACACATGCATGTGGCTAGGAATTGTGGAAATGGTCCAGTCGGTGAACAAGGCCCATGATATGGAGATTTAACCTAATTCTGGCTGGAGGAAAGCGACTTGGGCAAGAGCTATGAGACGAAAAGGCCAATAGCCTATAGTACTATTCTTTTTTTTTTTTGTGGTCAAAAGCCTGTAGTCCTATATACACCACGTCATGTACTCTTTCTCTCAATTCTAATAACATCACTCTGTCATAAAAACCAATCTCTTCTATTGTTGTCTGTTGTTCAGGGGCAGTTCTACGTTTCGAAAGCTGTAGGTGAACAACTAAAATGGGGCCTTCCATCCTATATTTATAAATTGCAATTGCCAAGCCATAAGATACAAATTGAAGAGGAAAAGATGCAATTGGATTCTGTTAAGCAATTTCCCTACGCGATTACTAACTC